TTAACAGTTCCAGAAGAAGAAGCCACAGTCCTTGGAAAAAAACTTCTTGACTCAGCTAACAAAAAAGAAGCTAGCTAAAAGCAAAGATACAACTACCTTTTTTTTCTGCTGCATACACAGAGCCGAGTGCTGGGGAAAAGCCGAGGGAGTTAGCTGTGCTTTTGAACATAGGCCACTGAAAGAATTCCACTGCGCCCCCCCCCCCCCCCTTTGGGTTTAAAGTTACAGGACCCATGTCTGGGCATAAAGCAGACAACAGGGGATACAGTATCATAACATCACCCCAAGACAACCACATTTCTACTATGTTTCCCTTTACATGTATTCTATACAGAATAAGTTGCTCCTGTGTCCACCAAAAATTCCATTTCTTCTTTCCCCAGCCTCAATGTAACCAGGGGATCAGCTGGTCATGGATTGACCCTGGCACAGTGCCAGTGCCCCCATGAAAGGTGTATTTCCAAAATGGTTACTGTGAGATGTGACCCGGGAACAGAACAAAGCAGGCTCCAACTTGGGAATGGAGGGAAAAAACAACACTTTATTAATCTACAACATCGACATTCGACACAAAAATGTCATCTGCTTTTAACCCCTGTGTTCTCAGAGGTGTATCCAAGTCCCCAGTGGCCACACCAGGTGCCAATTTCAAATCTGGCCACTGATTGGTTTGACCATAACTTTCCCAGAAACTCACTTCCTGGTCAAACCACGACAGGTAGAATCCCCCGGTCCCTTTCAATCTTCATCTTCTAGTGGCCTAATCTTTAAGACCAGGTCCAGCTTTCCAGCCTGTGGGCATTCTCCCTTCCAATGCCCCTTTTCCTTGCAGACTGCACACTAGTCTTCCCTTAACCATTGTCAGGGAAACAGTGGAAGCCTCCCACCTCCCCTTCTTCCCCCCCACCCGACCTCCCCTGTTGGCCAGTCCCTTAGTACCCTCCACAGGTCCCCTAGCCACCCCAGTTGCAAGCAGTTTGTCATGCCTCTTGTTTTCCCTTCTAGCCTGCCATAGTTCATTTTCCCTATCCCTGTCGTGATATACTTTCCACGCTTCATCTAACAACATTCCTAAGTCATGTGACTGTGCTCCTTCCAGTTTCTGGAGTTTCTTTCCAATATCTGGGGTAGACTGCCCTATAAAGGTAGTTGCTAACTGTACAGCCTCCTCTGGGTTCTCAGGATCCAAATCAATATATTTTCTGGCAGTCACCTTCAATCATTCCATCAAAGCTGTGGGGGATTCAGTACTGTCCTGCTTTACCTCATACAGTTTTGACCAGTTCGTGGCTTTCGGTATAGCATGCTTTACATCAAACAATATTCATCTCTGATATCTTGTTAAACAATCTTGGAGTCCCAATAAATTAGGGTTCCACCTTGGATCTGTTGAAGGAAAATTCTGATCTACAGTTCCTTCTAAGTCTCCATTAGCATGTGCCCCCTCCACCTGCTTTCTGGCCATGGTCAAAACCATCCTTTTTTCTGTGCTGTCCAACAACATATCTAACATTATTTGTATATCATTCCAGTCAGGATCCTGAGTTCTAATTATGGTTTCAAATACTTTAGCAACTCGATCCAGATCCTCTCTATAAACTCCCGCTGCCTTTTTCCATGACATTAAATCCACAATTGAAAATGGGGTCTTTACTGTTACTGGCCCATGATTCCCAACTGCCTTTCAGAGGGGAGCCATCAGAATATCCCCAGCATCCCCCCAACATCTCCTTGTTGCCTTCTAGTGCATCCTGCAATCAGGCTAAAATCCTCTGATCCCCTAAAGCATTCTCTCACTTCCAGTCCACTGTCCCATGACCTACTTATGCATCTAGCCGCGTTCCCTGCCGATTCATCATTCACCCCACCTGTTCCCTGCTGATTCAGCATTCACCCCACCTGCTCTTTGCTGTAGAGCAACCATCATCTCTAAATCATCCTCGTCCTCTCTTCCTCGCTTTTAGCACCTCTGCCCTAGGCTGCACACAGAACACCACCTTTTCAACTCTTTGCCTTTCTTTTCCTTTTCAAGTGCAAAAATTAGTGGATCTTGCGGGGTCCTCCCACATTCCTTTTGCCACTCTGGATGATTTCTTAGGGTGAAAAACAAGTCAACATAAGGAACTTCATTCCACTTATTTTCCCTTCTACAAAACAACATTAGTTGCAACAGGGTGTTATACTGTAAGGTTCCGTCCTTAGGCCACTTCTTTTGTTCTTCCAGCATGTAAAGTGGCTACCACTGATTACAGAATTGTATGTTTTTCACGCATGAGGGAATACCCCAAATTTGTTTCCAATGTTTCAAGATACATCCCAGCGGTGACTCCTGTGATACCCCTTTTGAGGTTTTGTTTCACATTACAAGAAATTACTGTTTAGGAGCTCCTTAGAAGGGAGTCTAACCATTCCCTTTTCTCACCTTCGGTACCCTTAAACCAAACCCTGTGTAGCTTTTGCTGTGCCTTATAGGTAGGTTAACAGTTAACATCTTTAGAGTAAAGAATGCCTTTATCTTACCAGGGGTCTTGCTACGATTTCCTTTGGATCAGGGATGGAAGGTTCTCCCCGAGAATCCTTCGGTGCTGGCTGGAAGTCCTGTGATCCCTTGGATCTGTTGAAAATCAGGAATCTGTCCCATCTGGGGCACCAAAACTCTTACCAAAAAATCGGTAAAATAAGAAACCCCTTAACACCAATGTAGCATTAAGAAGCAGGCATTCTTTATTTGACTGGGTGCACGGGGGGATAGCTCCTCCCAAAGCCGTGCATGCTGGGTACAGGAAAGTTTCTGTTTAGATATTGTATTTTGCATACATATTCATTGATTGTCCCAGACTAAACCAACATGTAATAATCATTTCCCTGAAATCATTAACATATTTCCCCTCTTCTTTACTCATGCGTTCTTCTGTCCTGGAGGTCTCTCTGGTGGTTGTAGACCCCAGTGTTCCAGGTGACCTGGCTGAGTTGGCAGGACACTGAGACTGGTGAACTTCCAGTTCTCCTTCTTACAGAATGGGCATTGGGCAGTTTCTGTAGGCCAGTAGTTTTGGAGAATAAGCATTGTGTTAGCTCACCAGGTGTAAGCCATTTTTTATCTGGTAACACACCTATGAGGAAAAGAAAATAATTAGTTGCCTAGCCAACATGAGAGTGCTTATCCTTCCTCTTCCATCACAGTGCAGGCATCTCCTATATCACACCAGGAAGCATGAAAGCCTCAGCAGTCCAACTGCTGTTGTATATACTTCAAAAGCTTTTTAGGTAAGCTCGTGTTCTATACTCTCCATCTTGGAGATTTGGTGCATACCATTTCCATAATTTAGCAGATTCTGACCAGACTGCCAAACAAAAGATAATAGCTCCTGGAAACAACAATTTGCAGGCGATAATGGTTGTATAATGGCCCTTTAGCTATTTTTGGCCACCTGTCCTGCCAACTCTAGTGCTTGGCTTTGACTTAATGGCTCTGCTCCTAGCATACATCATTCCTTAGCATGAGCTGTGATAGCCAAAAATTTAAGTGGGAGTTTAATGAACAGTCACACACAGTAAAGACAAAATCTTGTAGAGACTTTGAGGTTAGATTTTGAGGAGTACTACCTGAAACACTTAAGAGTTGCAAGCACAGAATCATGCTTTAACCTTGCATTGCACTGTCACGTGATGTTCATGCATCTGAGACATAACACACAACAGACCTTTGTTGCTCATCGGCCAGTGTGTTTTATTGTTTGGGGCTTGCTTTTATAGGAAATTCAAAAACTCCTGGCTCTAAACAGTCATTGCTCTAAACTCCACGCCTCCTAGACTCTGAACCAGTCAAATGCTTGTACTTTAGGAGAGTTGTTATTGGTTGAAACCTCTTTCAGTCAGCCCAGAGGCTGGTTTATGGAACTGGGCTGGATTTCTTATTTATAACCGGATTCATGTTCAGTACGAATCAGCTTGTACTGCAACATTGCACTGCTTGTGAAATACACTACTCTGAGACACCTAAAACATCATGTAAAGCATAAGGCTTTCTTTGTCCTGGTAGTCAAGTATTATATCATAAATGAGGCCTGAAAGCTTTATAAAAATGATCAAAATAGAATCTAGGCTGAAAGGCTAAGTACTGCATGCATTTAAATGCATTGCATTTCTTAGGGAGCTAAATAGCTAGGTGTACATGCAGCATTCACATGGCTGTGCAACTATTTTAAATTTCAATTCTTTCTTATAAAGTATTCATATGATTTGATTGCTTAGATAAGCTCAGTTAATCACAGAGAGACTGAATTTTTCCAAAGGAAAAAATGCTGTGTGATATATTTTGTGCAAAATTCCAAACAAGCAAATCTTAACTTTAAATTGATAAACATGCAGAATATTGATTTATTAGTCATTTATGCTTTGTGTAAAGTACAAAGACATAAAAAAATTTAAAGGAAGTAATGACTGTCCATTAACAAATACAAGCCAAATTTTACTTAAAGCTGATTTTATATATTTCTGAGGTTGAAGTTTGCACAACTATAATTGTTATATTATTTGGCTTTCTAAAAATTATGTGTTGGTTGTATATTGCTGCTTACCATAATGTTCTGAAATTTGGCCACATAAGCTAATTTTTGTTCTTACTCTAAGACTTTTTTTGTGATAGAACATCTAATAGTAATTCCCTATAGTTGAGAACTATTTCTTTGGGATTGGAATTTTATGCTTATAATTTTAAATACCCAGTGGTGTATTCTAGATTTTTTGGAGAAGTTTTGTTTTAGTCATTAACTCATTGCTATTTTTTTCCTGCCTGTATTTTGTCTTCAAAAAAAAAATTAATTCAATGTTGCTTCAGTTGTTACTGTGTTACTGCTGTCTTGATATTGAAGCAAGCACCTTGTAAGCACCATAACCACTTGACAGTGTTTTGCCTTGAACTTAACAAGCTGTCCGCTTTGTGCAGAAAAGTCATGTTTGTGTCCATTGGCTGAAGTATATTCTTATTTGTCTTGCAGGCACAGGAGAGAGTGGCAAAAGCACATTTATCAAGCAGATGAGAATCATTCATGGATCAGGTTACTCTGATGAAGACAAAAGGGGCTTTACGAAATTGGTGTACCAGAATATATTTACAGCGATGCAGGCCATGATCAGAGCCATGGATACCCTCAAAATCCCATACAAGTACGACCATAATAAGGTGAGATTTTTGTTTATTTCCATAGCTGAAATTTTTCCTCTTTTATCTTTAGGAAATGTACTGAAGTCTCTAAAAATTATAAATCACAAATTATATTCTACCTAAAGTTTAGAAGAAAAGGGCTTCTTCCAGTCCTACCTCTAGTTCTCTGCCCTTTGCACTACTCTGACAACACAGGTGCTGTTCTTATCAAGATGTTTGGGGGGTTTGTCATAGCAAGAGGGTAGAGGGCAGGCTGCTGTTTGCCTGTGACTTTAATTATCTTTTTTCCCTTCCTCCCAGCTCATGTTCTGGCCAGAGCACAGTTAAGTAATTTTTCTGGTTTGTACCAGTACTACTTAAGGTTTTCCATTAATATTATGTGGGGGGGAAAAATATTAGAAAAATAGGTGGGAATATCTGCTTGTATGTGAGTATATTATGAAATAAAACTTTTGATACAAGGCCTTAGAATAAACAAATTCTTTTGAAAGTGATGACATCATTGAAACTTTGAAAGAAAATACATTTAAAGCATTTTGTAAGGTTTATCTTTGATTAACCTGACTTCTTTAAATTTTTGTTCCATTCAGAAATTTTCCATTTAAAATCAAATGCATAACTGGTATAACTGGTATTAAAATGGAAATTTGCATGTGTATTTCAGCTCCATGTTTTTGCTGTACATAATGCACTGAATTTCCTAACAAGCTGACTTGAAGACTTAGTTGATTGTGAAGCGTACTTTTTTTTTTCAGAAACTGTACTAACAGCCATTTTGCTGTAGTATATGGAAGTCCTAATCATAAATCAGTAAATTGTTTTCTTGTATTACACTGCAAAGTGTTTTGTATTGTTCAAATTGAGTGTTCAATTTATATAGGCTGTTTTTGTATAGTTGTAGTGAATTAGATGTGTCATAGCTGTATATGTGTGGCCAGACTGTTCTAATTAGAGCTGTTAATTTCTCTATATAAAAATACCTTGACTTAAAGTGACTCTGTCTTTGCACTCACCTCTTTCACAAGCATTTCCATCAGTTCTAGGTGTGGATTAAAGTACAACTTGCCAAAGTTGCCAGGTTCTAGATGCAATTCCTTTAAAAACGTGGGGATTTTTTAATTCAATGAAATTAAAAATGCAAACTTGTTTCTCCACCTCCTTCCTTTTTTATCTCCATTGAGAAGGCAAATTCATTAGCCTTGCAACCTAAAAAACACAGGAAGGGCATTTACTATTAATTTGAATCTCATAAAAAAAATTGGTCTCTAGAGAATATCTCACAGTTCGAGTAACTGCATATTTTTAGCATCGTACTTGTCTTGTCCAGTAGCTTAGAAAACTACAGCTCAAGCTGATGTTTGTATTGCTGAGCCTAAAGAAAAGAGAGTGAAGTGACACTTATCAAATTCAAAAAGTCCGGTTAGGTAGACATTTGTGATCTTTGTACAGTGTAAAAAAATGACATCCAGGCTGGATTATTTTAATATCAGTGTAGGAAGAGGCATGTTGTAAGTTAAGGAAGTTCTTCCAGTGTTGTGTTGGCTTCATAGTAAGTGATATAATTAAAGAGGCAGAGTCTGAATTTCATTGTCCTATATTATAATAATCTAGGATCTTTGAAATATTTATTATCAGAATAATGAAAGTCAATTGAGAAATGTAAACATTACTGTTTACATTGTTATGTCTCAAAACTGATGGTAATGCATTGTATCCTACTACATCACACTTTCCATCACACTTTTTTGTCTTGTCAGTTTCAGAATATGAGCTCTACTGAGCTTTAAGATAATAGGTGAGGGTTATCTCTTAGGGATCTGACATAGGAAATGGTGGCTTATGGACTAGGTTTTTAGTTTCCATTTGAGTAAACTGTGACTGTGTTTCAATTTTTTTTTTAACCAGAAATTTTGATTTTTTTATATGCATCTTGAATTTTGGAGAAGCAGTTTATAAAATTCAGAGAAGCCTTAGGTAGAGTTTTTTGTCCTGTTTTTTTACAGAAATAGACTTGAGCAATTCTCAAAATTGCCTGTCTGCAAAGTTTTTGTGAATGTACAATAGTAACTCATGTGCAGCCACTGACACTCAAATTAAACTTCAAAACATCTTGCACATATTTTTAAATAATTTTTTTAATTGTCTTTTTAGAAATCTGACCTGTGTATTTATGTTCCTGTCAATCCTTTCAAATTCTGAATTAAAACATTAAATTTTTTATCTTCTGACATTCCCAGTGTTGTCCATAGTGGCTTAGAAGTCATTGCTCCAGGTAATGTAGCCCCCTATTTCTCCTTTTCTATCTTTCTTCATGCCTAATATTGCTGAAGGAAGGCTTTTTATTTTTCCTCTCCTGTTGTTACAGAACTTTTACTAAATAAATTTACTACTGTGCTAAAGAACTACTACCACTTTTACCCATTATTGTTCCCTTTCAGTGTAATTTCCAGAAGACAGTTGCCTCATCTTACAGATTGTCAGGAAGATGTCACTCAGCAGTAGTTATCAGGCAGAAAATCTTATTTGAATCCATATACATAATTTCCCATGAGGCTTCTTAAATATTTATAATAAGATACCTAGCGTAAGATAGAGCAGGTTACACGAAACTATAAGCACTGAAAACATAAAATGATGCCTTAAACTAGGCCAAGAATTTTCCTGTAAGTTGTCTCCATTGGTGAAGTTGTTTCTTTATTTAAGCCTATTTCCCTAAAAGAAACGTTTAAAAATTAAAAACAAGCAGATACAGGAAAATGGTTTTAAAGTCCAAAATCTTACTGAAATTGTCTTCAAGGCCAAGTTTACTTTGTTAATAGCTCCACACCCCCACCCCCATAGAAGTAATCTGTTGCTATCTTGTTGCAAAGGTTTCATACCTTCTTGGTGATTTCTCATGGGCAGCTCCTCACAGCACTGACTCCCTTCTCCCTCTTTCTCCTTCTCATCCTCCTGCTACTCTGCACAAGCAACAAACTCCATCTTACATCTCAACCAGCCAAACCACTCTTTTACAATACCCCTCCTAATTGGATCCAGCTGTGGCCTATTAAGGGCAGGCTTGTTCTTAATGCTTGATAATTAGCACAGGTGTAACTCCTTAGGGGTGAGATTACCTTCACCACTATCTCTATTCTCCTACATTCTATCTATCCACAGTAATCTACTGTAACAAACTATCCTGGTTTAGGGCAAATTTGAGAGAAAACTTCCAAAGGGGCTCCTCTAGAAAGCAGATTCAAGTGGCCCCTCCCCCAACTGCTTCGGGAAAAGATTTCCTTGGAGAAAAGTGGAAAAAAACTGTTTACTTAACAGGAAAAGCATTCACCAACACAAAAAATGAACAATATTAAACAATAAAACATCTTGCCAATCTGAAGAGATGACAAACTCAGAAAGTCCTTTTCATGGGTTGCAGCTCGGCTCATCCAGTCTGTTATCAGTCCTTCTGGCACTGGAAATGCTATGGCCCAGACCCAGCCTGGTGGGCCACAGGTGTGAGCTGCCGGCGCTCTTCTGGGTGTTCAGTCCAGAGCAGGTTTAAACAGTTCCAAGAAAAAGAAAAACCACAGTTCAGGGAACTTCTCTGCCTCAGCTAGCTAAAAACTAACTAAAAGCAAAGGAGAGCTCTGTCCCGCTGTCTGTCCATCTGCAGACAACTCAGTCCAGGAGCAGGAATGTGGAGGAGTGAGTGCAGTGTCTGAAAACAAATGTGTGCTTCTTCTCTCCCCCCCTTCGCTCTCAGAACCAGTCTTAAAGGTGCAAAACTTATTTCTGGACTAAACAGATGAATGGGGATACAATTCAGCATCATAAAGTCACCCCAGGACACAAACACACAAAAGTAAGATATCAGGATCAGGTATGGAGTCAAATTACATAAATTCTCATCTCAAGTAGTGGAGTCTTAAAAGTTTTGGATCTCTTCAGTGAAATTTCATGTTGAACAACAAAGTAGTAATTTCATATGACATTTTTTTTCTCCCTGGTTAAAGTAGGTATAAAGTCTAAACATTAGGGATATGTGAACAACATAGATTGGAGAAAAGGACCTCCCTCATATACCTTACCTGGTATTCAAAGAGTATGAAGGATTGAATCCCAAGCATCAGCATGCAAGCTGTGTGTGAGATGCATTGACTCTCAGATGATGCAGAATCTGCAGGATTTATGGCCTTCTAAAAAAAATTATTATATTTTTGGGATGTTGAAATGAAATGCTTCTAAAGAATAGCTTATTGGTCTGGAATACACATAATAAAAAACTGAACTGTGCCATATTTGTAAAAAGTATTCTTCAGCATCTCAAAGCTGAAGCAGAGAGCTTAAAAGCAGGTTGCAGGAAAAAGGGATTTATACTAGTCATGTTAGTTAGTGCTCCTAATACTCTCAGATGTCTTCCTTCAGACACACAAAACTAAAGAAAAATTACCCAGTAAATAAAAGTCTTGCAATCAGTTAAATGCTTCTAATACTATGAAGCTACTAATGCAATTTTTTTCCACAAGAAATAGATTACCTAAGAGCAAGCCGATATGGAAAAGAGTGCAGTAAGTTTTCAAGTATTGTAATCAATTAACATCTATGCAGATAAAGAAATTAAAGATTAATTTTTTTGTTCATGAGTTTTGTTTGATATGAGGTAAAAGCGGGTTCCCCCAATAGCTTTACATTTCCTCCTATGAGGATTTGCTTTAAAGAGGGCTTCAATAAAGCCATGAACATTTTTTTCTTCAGTGCTTCATAAAGAATAAGCTTCCACAATCCAAAGTAGAACTCAGTCTACCCCTAACTGCTTTTCTTTTTATCTGTCTTTCTCTGTTGGTCATTTATTTCTCTCTTACCTAGCTGGTCTTTCTCCTGTTTTATTTTACATTTGACCTTATAAAGTTTTTATCTGTTTATCTGTGACCATATTGTCCTACTCTCTATTGTTTTCATTTTTCATTACATTTAAAGGAAATTTTTTTAAAAGTCATTGCTTACTTCCCTTTTTTGTTTACCTTTTGGTTAGAGCT